AGACTAACTTTCCATGAAATTATTAACTATTAAGTAATTTATACAAACTCTACTTAAAATTAAGTCAAACATAATTAATCTATCTTGGAATTAGTAATGATAATTTTGGTTTTTATAAGTCTATTTTAGAAATTCATTTGCCATAAACTAAAGTTTCTCCTCGTTTGTTTTTTCCTTTTTTTTTGAGTGTAGCAGTGGCAACATAAATCTGAAACTGAACTGTAACTCAATTGCAATGCACAATTGTAACCCCTTCCATGAACTACCCCTCCAACCTACTGCCACGCCCATTCACTTCAGCCTTGGCTGCTGTCAGGGGGTGGGGGAAGGGGGGTAAATTTGCATGTTTTGGTAACTTGTAAAATACTCGCTTCTGGTACTTACTTTGCTAGCTTCTAGGCGATTTTCATTTCATTACATTGCAGGTTATTGTTTTCACTCTGCCACCTACTCACCTCCCTCCACCATCCTAAGCACACACAGATACACACACACACACAGACAGTCTCTGCCTGGCACTCACGCTCCTCGTATTTGTGTATTTGAAAAACGTTATGGAAATGACTTGCAATGAAATTATAATGAGTTTGACTTGGTCTTTTCGGTTGGGCGTTGACATTCCCTGTGGCTTTTGGTGGGTGTTTGAGGGGGCGTGGCATGATTGGATGCCACATTTGGTTTAGCATAAAATGCATATGACACAGCACTTCTTTTATATTGTGCGTTGGTTGTTGCATTCAGCATCCAGCAAGCAGACAGAAAGTAGTTGAGAAAATAACAGCCGAAGATGAAACTGATTTTTACTGCCAGTCGGTTTCAAGTTTATAATATTCTACTCATAACTGAAGATAAAAATAAAATGGCGAAAATGTGTGTACAAAAATATGAAAATATTTTCATCCCAGATGGAGAATTTAATTTCGAAAACAAGCCATTACCATGAATATGTAGACTATAAATTTTCTAAACTTCTAACATCGAGTTGTCTATACAAATATATATTTATGTATATATTATATGTATTACAAATCTATTATGTCTTCGTATTTTTTTAGAATTCACAATAAAATATAAAATGAATGCTTTAAACTAATTAAGTAAAACAATATTTGTACATATAATGCAAAATAAATTTACATGTAGAAATTGTAATAGTTTTTGCGCAGCCAGAAACACATGTCTTATTTAGCAGTTGCTTTAATGCTCAAAAAGCAAGTGCCGCAAATCCAAAGGGACATTATATTGCCAAGTTGAGTGTAGAAATGGAAATGGAAATAGAAATAGAAATAGAAACACTTGCAAATTACAATAAATGTAACAGTTACAGTTACAGCCAGCAGTATGTTCCCTGTGCCAGTTTGCCAGCACTGTTTGCCGCCGGTTTGTGCACACATCAGACATTGTTTTTCTATATTTGTATATATATATATATACTCATATATATATATGCAATTGGCTGCTCTGCCTCATCATAGTCTGGCAACTAGCAGCGGTTTCTCTTCTCATACTCGCCTACAGCTTTTGCTCCTGCTGCTGCTGCTGCTCCTGCTCCTGCTGCTGCTCCTGCTACTACTCCTGCTGCTGCTGCTGCTGTTTATGCTACTATTTTCCTTGCCAAGTGCTCATCCTGTCGCCAGACGACTGGCTGCTGCTGCTACTATTGCTTCTGTTGCAGCTTTAACCACACACACTAAATTGAGTTGCAACATCACACTCAGAAAAATATGTAGACAACAAAAGCTGTCTAGGTTAATATAATTAGTCCGACCTTCAATGTTTTATTATATTTACAACGTTTTTGGCTACTTTAATCCCAAATTTATGTACCGCAGCATAGAATTTTAATTCCAGAATATTTTGTATATTTGATGTATGAGTAAGTCTTAGTCTTAGACATACTAGAAGTAAGTCAACTTAGAGCTGAATTAACATATTGTGGATGACAAAGTTGTTAGGGAGATAGTAAATAGACTGCTTATTGCTGGGCAATCTTCCAGAATGTATTCTCAATAGAGACTCAACACTCTCTAGAGGTAGGCTCCAGAAAAGAAAACTTCGGTGGTAAAAAGCCCCCGTCGATACAATCCACTTTATTACCAACAATTTAAAATGATTTAAATCATTAAATAGAATTGAATTCTATAACATATTTTTTGCTGAGTGTAGCAGGCAGAGGTGCAAGCGAGCAGTGTGTCCAGTAGATGGCAGTGCGTTGCCAACGCTTGTTAGTTTTGCCTGCTTGCTTGCCGCTTTTCCGGCTATTTTTCCGGACGCTTTATACGCTCCTCCTGCCACACTCCCCATCGACCGTTCACATCCCTTTGCACATTACGTATAATCATCATTTTCTGCTGGCAATAAACACATGCTGCCTGTTCTCAACTAGCCAGAGCCGTCTCTCTCCCCACTCTTGCCTAACGTGTTCAACAAGCGGTTGCAAGTGCAACTGGACTGCATTTTGCTGCGACGCCTTCGCCCTAGTAACGAGGCTGTAAGTCACTCAAAACAACACCCGCTGTTGCAAACCGCTCGCACATTTCCATAGCAGCCATATTCTAGCACCTCCCCTCTTCTTCTCTCCCTCTCTCTCTCTCTATTTTTTCTCTCTCTATTTGCCTGACTGGTCATAACATGAATTTACAATTTCCAGTGCAGTGCACAGCACTCTCCTCGTCGCATTCCTTATATGCATATATCTATCTATCTGTGTATGTAGTTGCATGCGATAGTTTTCTTGTATGCAAAATGCACATCCATCCACAACAACAACAACAATAAGTATAAAAAACAGCAAGTTCAACAAATTATTAACCCATAGTCAGCGACTAACTGAATGCTCTGCAATTAATTAGTCTTATCATCTATCTCTTTTTATTAACTATAATATTATTTGTATTTAAATATTTTATAGTTAATATCAATAAATATTTAAATAGTTTAACCAAAGGCAAACAATTTGTAAGCTTACCCTACCCAAAAAATCATATAAAAGCTCTATTCAATTATAAAAGAAAGTACTATTATATATCTGAATGTCAAATCGAATCGTTCCGGTTCCGGGTAAAGTTAAGTATTATAAACTTATAGATTCCTTTCAACCTGTCAGTTCTGATTTCTCTGTCTCTCTCCCTTTTTAGCTATATATCTGGACTAATAGTTTTCGGCATTCGATTCATTTATGATGCTGTATTCATATTAATATCGGTTCCTGTTAGCTTAGTTATGGTTCCAGTTCAGTCTTGACACCCTTACAGACCGAAGCTCATTAAACAAAGTAAATAATACTAAAATATAAGAAAACACTTTGAAAAATCTTTATTCTAAACAGAAGATAAGCAAAAGTTATAAAATAAGGATTGTAAGAAGATAAGGCGAAGAGTAAAGTGATCCAAGGAATCAAAGGAGCTATGAGGCTTATGAGGCAGCTCTCCTATTATATCATATAAAATTTAAAATAAAACAATTTTAGCTTATTTCTTTTAGACAAATATAAATTTGACTTTATTGTAAGATGCTACTTTCTTCAAACTCAAAGTTAGACTTTAGAAACAATCAACACTGATAAAAGTGCCTCCAAATATATGCCACGTTGCACGTAGTCTGCCATATACCCAGCATTCGCTTTGAGTGTGGAGCATTTATATTCGTCAATGGATTCATTTTCGGTTTTAAAATATGCAAAAATATGGCCAAAAGGGCATTCAAAGCGAGCGATTGCTAAAAAAATAGAAGCTTTGATTAAATTTAAAAGCTTGGTAATGTTATTCGTCACGTGCTGCAAGCTGACAGCTGCAAGCTGCAAGCAGCAAGTTGCGAATTGCCAGTTGCAATTTTGTCGCTGTTGGTTAGACAAAAAATGAATCTGCTGTGTGCCACAATAAATATCGGTGGCGCCACCACGTTCGCAATGCCAACGCCACCTACCCACTGAGAGACCTTGCCTCATGCATATATGCATATATTTCGATTGCAGTTCATAATTGATTTAGGTGTATTTGTTTTGGCCGGGTGTGTGTTTGTTTCTGGGTGTGTGTGTACTGGGGGAGGGGTGGGGGATGGGTGTGTGTGTGTGTGTGTGCTCCATTTGTGTAGCGGCTAATCATGTAGGTCAGTCACAGCAGTGAGAACAAATCGCGATTTGCTTTTACCGATGGAGTCACACAGCGGGTGGCGCAACCGTCTGCTGTCAGCTGAGCCACTGTTCAACACACTGAGGCAAGTGGCAAACAAAAGCCAGAGATTATCAAGCGACATATATGTGGACACAAAAGCGGCTGTAAACCAACAAACCAACAAACAAACAAACTAACAAACAACAACAACAACAAGAAAACACGCTGAATGGCAATGCACAAGAGACAAACAAATCCAAATCAAATTGACAATAGATGCCACAGCCTGCCAATGCAGCGCACTGTATCTTAAATCAGAATTAACAAATTTTTCAAATTTATTCTGAAATTCTGAGTTTTCTATTAAGTTGATAATTGTGAAATTGTCGTAAATAATGCATTTCAAATTAAATATTGCAGAAAGACTATTTCGTTATAGCTGTAAAAATTCTATTATTAATATATGGCTATATATTATAAATAATATATTATTTTAACGTATAAAAAGTATCTTTTTAGTCTGTAGTACGAGGCAGATGCCCCTGACTGTTAAAGTGGAACACGGCCTGCCAGCAACAAGCGCCCGCAACATTCGCTTCAAGCTTGGCAACTCACACAAAATGTTGCTAGCTTGGTGCGCATGTTGCTAACGCAAACAAACAAAATGTTGTTAACGACGCTGCTGCTGGCTGTGTGTTTGTTAAATGCGAGTGTGTGTGTGTGTGTATGCGCTGCATATGTGTGCGTTGCGCTGCGCTGCCTGCATATGTGTGCAATCGACGTTCGCTCATCGTCTGTGTGTGTGTGTGTGTGTCGATGTTGCTGCTGCCGCTGCGTGGCTGTTTTGTACGTTTGGCAACTTCATAGGCAGAGATACACGCCTCAGTCTGTTGGTAACTGTTGCATTCAACGCTTCGCTTCGCTCTCCAACCGAAAATATATTAGATTGTAAATTGTACACGACCATCGAGCGCTCGTTGTTTCATTCCCGTTTCATTCGTACGTTCGTGCGTTCGGTTCGTTTGCTCGTTCGTTCGTTCGTTCGCTCGTTCGCTCGTTCGACTTCGGTTCGCTTGTGTTTTTTTCCGTCAATCTTTTGCGCCCACACGCTGCTCGTGTGTGTTTTATTGCCGGTCTAAAGCCGAACGTCATCGTCATCAAATCCATAACGTCATTTCGGTTCTGAGCTGCGTCTGCTCCTGTGCGTGTGTATCTTGTAGCTGTGCCTGCCACACTCTAACTGTAACTGCAACTGTAACTGTAACTGTAGCTGCATCCGTATCAGTGCATCCCCCATACCACCCCACCATAGATAGAACCGCAAGTCAGCCGGACTTGCGTCTTTCGCGTTGCTTTTCGGCGCGCAAAGTTCAAACAGCAGCTATATTAAACCCTAAATAAATATAATAATAATAAAAAATAATAATAATAAAAATATACTGTGCAAATATTTCACTTTTTGGGAGTCGAGGAAACCCGCTTCAAATATTTTTTGTCGTCATCAAGTGTGTTGACAGTGCGCGCTAAAAGTAAACACACACACACACACTCACTCACACACACATATACATAAAATACAAGCACAAGCACAAGCACATTCCTTGCACACACACACACACACACAGTGAAATTTTTCAACGGCCGTAAAGTGTTCAGTGCTGCGCTCCCCCTCCTCAGCCCCCCTTATTTCTCACTTCAACTAAAGCGACACATTTTATGCTTGAAAAGCCAAAGCACAACAGCAACAACAACAACAACAACAGCAGTGAGAAAAATCACTAAGCTCTCTGCCAAGCAAAAATATAAAAAAATAATAATAAAAAAAGCGCCTTTTGCCCTGTGGCAAAAGTAACATAAAATACTTATTAAAGGTGCGCCACATATAAGGATTAAAGGAGCAACAACCGCAAGCCAACAACAACAACAACAATAACAACAACAAGTCTACAAAATGTCACGGATCGTTTTTGTATTTCTAGCAGCCATTTTAGCAGGTGAGCAGACCAAAAATACCTACATTTCTTGAGAGAGATGATATCACGAGTCGATGTTTATTTTAAGCGCTGATTGATACCCGATAACTGCCAACTGCTTTTTATAGAAAAACTTGTTCTCATCATCACTACCGACTAGAGTATGGAAATTTTGTTGTTCCCATATTATATACTGATTATAGGCTATTGTATATGTGGTACAATATATATAGTGGCTTTGATTGATGGACTATCAAAGTAAAGGTGTTTTTGTATAGCATTTTGTTAGCAGTTGGCAGTTTGGCGGCTTTTTCTCAATATTGTTTTTGTTTCTTTCTACTGCGCATGCTTGTAGGCTCCATCGTAGCCGAAGGGTCTTTGTTAAAATCACGAAATGCGACTCGAGTGCTCTGTGACCTTTATTGTGGCAAACAACTTGAGCTCGTCCGGCTCGTCTTCGATTTGAGCCAGAAAGGTCAAATGTGCCCAAGTAACTCGGCTTTCAGTGTGGCGATTGTGCTGCAATTTTATTGGCTATTTAGCTCTTGGGCAATTGTTGCTAAAAGCACTCTGTTGTGTGGAGTTTTATAAACATTTAAGAATATCATTAGTGTATATATTTATATTGAAAATATGTTATTTAATTATAAAAGTATCTCTCTTATAGAAATATAAATATATATTTAAAAAAGTAAGCTTGTATGAGTATATTTGAAGTATATTATTAAGATTATATCTAGCAAATTCTTGTGTTAAAGTCATTATCTTAATTTCTGTTATATTCTTTAAATGTAATTCTTTCTCTGTATTATTGCCAGACTTGAAGTATACTTTAAATAAATCTTCTGGGTAACAAGCTTCAAAAGTAGCTTTTCCACTCATGCCAAATGTCATTCAACACAATCCTCAATATTCGCTGGCTTAATGAAATAGCTCAAGAGTTATGTGACAATAAAGGTGCGCATGATACATCTCAGCAATTAAAGGACTACGTTATATATATATATATAAATATACATTTAAGCATATATACATATATACATACACATATATGGTCCAAAGTGCCGCCCTTTACAGCAGAGAGCCGAGCACTCCTTTCGTTAAATTTACAACTTGCCCCATCGCCTGGCAGCCTATTTAATTAAAATCCTTCAATGTGTTTTCACATTTTCTTCTTTTTTTTTTCTTTTTGTATTTTGGTTTTTTGTTGGGGCGCCCGGCATTCTCATTAGCTGAAAAGAAGCTGGTGATGCTATTTATGCTGCCTGCTGATGCTGCTTTCAGCCTAACAACATTAACAGCCAAGCCATATGAAACAGCAGCTGTCTACTTACAAACAGCACCTAAACCACCATTCCCTCCCCACGAAAATACCCTCCCCTTTTTTCCAAGCAACCATCGCATACGAAACACGAACATGACGTGACTTTAAGACAGGCACTTTTTTGTGGTTGCCGTTGTTGTTGTTGTTGCATGCCCGTCGTGGCTAAGCCTTAGAGCAACAGCCTCAGCAGGCGAAAAACCTTTCAAAACGGCGCCCAGCGTGTGATGCTCCCCTCTCCCCTTCCTCCCACCAGGCCCCAAGCTGTAGCCAAAATATATGCAAAGCAAAAAAGAATCCACAGAAAAGCAGCAACGACTGAAAATAAAATGCAGCTTCAAATCCAACTATAGATTCGGATGCGGATGCAGATGCAGATGCAGATTCACATGCAGATTTCGAATGTATCAGCTGATGCTGATGCTGATGCTGATGCGAATACGGATGACTGATGCATTTGCCCGATGCAACCTGAGGCCCCTGTATGCTGTGTGCTCAGCTCATTGCTCCCAGACACTTTACACTGCATACTTTCAACTTTTTTAATGCACTGCTCTCAAAATGGAAACGAGTATAAGCGAGTGCATATGAATTCACACTCGCATTTCAGTCACAGTTAAGCTTGAGAGTGCTTAACTTTTTCAACTTACCAAGCTTATTTTCCACTTATTTTCAACGGGTTTTTTTTTTACAAGAGAGTATTAAGTCCTCGGTGAGATTCCTACCTGTTAATATTTGTTTATGTGCTGTTTTTTATGGCCAAACAAACTCATGTCTGATGTTCAGTTTGTAATTATAAATGTTTAATGGGCTCCTGGACGCGCAGCACTCCTTTAGAGTCCTTTAGCCACAGATAGACAGAGAGAGAGAAAGACCTAGACAGAGAGAGAGAGGTACATAGCAGGATAGTTGAACCTGCAGCATTTCTTTCATTCTTCGTATCTTTTTGTGGCATATGCTGCTGCACACGCGGCGTATTAGTAAAGTCACACAAAATACCAAATGTCAAATGCAAAACTGCTTACAGCTTATGCATTTTAATGGTCACAAATTGAGGCTACACATGTCTCTGCATGACTATGCAAGACTGCATCTCTGTCTCTCTTTCCCTCTCTCTCTATCTCTCTTAGTGTATCTCTGTCTATAATAAATAAAATGCCAAACAAAAAGCATGCATTGAAATAAATATTTCATGCTTGCCTCCGTCTGCATTTGCTCCGCCACTGATTTTGGCAGCCAGCATTTATATAAAACTCTTTGTATGTAAACAAAATTTAGAAAATAGTTGTTTGCCATTTTTGCGTGTGTGTGTGTGTAATTTGGTAATTGTTATTGATAGCTTGAGAGCAGTGAGTAGTTGTATAAGTTATGCTGTATTTGCAAAGTTAAAAGTTAATAAAAAATGTACAAATATTTCCAGAAATTATCAAATATGCACAAGTTCAGGGAAATATTTATTGCAAGCAAAATAAATATGAATTATACGTTTCAGTTCGCAGTCAAATATATTAAAAATACTTTCCAATTTTAAAATAAAGCCAAATTCAGTAGCCAAATAATCTTGAAATTAATTAGAGATTTATGAAAATATGCTGCCAATTTATTAGGATTCGTTAAATACATTATAAAAATATTTGAAATAAATACTCAAAGCCTTTATATCATTTTTAATATATAAATACATAAAGATCCTACCAAAAATCTATGCTTCATTTTTAATATTTAAATATAAATTTATATATAAAAATTCTTCCTCAAATATATGAATTGTTTAGAAGGTGATTCCGTATTCTTTCAGTGTTTCGTCGTATGGTAATTGCATGTGCTGGCTGCTGCATGCAGCACATAGCAAGAGACACACGAAGAGGACGCTGAAAAACTGGGGGTCTGCAAGAATTCTCATTCTCATTCATATTCATAACATCGTCGTTACAAACGAGTCGTTTTTTTTTCCATAGCTTGGACTTGGAATTGGGTTTGGGTGGCGGGAGGGGCTCTGGGGTTTGACCAGTTTTTCAGTTTAAGTTTGAGGCACGCAAAAATGTTTTGTAAGTGAAACTGAAACTGGGCAGCAGAATTCGCCGGCAGCTGTTCGCAGGTGAATGGGCTTGAGACAAAGGCGTTAACACGCCCCCAGCAACGGAACGCTTCTTAGCTTTATTTTTATTTTTTGTCTCTTTTCTTATTCGGCTGCTGCTGTTACTTTATTCAATTTCCGCTTTTTAATTGCTTGCCTCTGTTTCTTCTTTGCTTTTGGTTTTGACGTCTTCAAATTCGCAGCTCATTTTGTCAGTTGGCCTGTTTTTTTTTTGTTTTATTTTTGTTCTGGCTCGTTATTGATTTTCCGTTCAATTTTCGCATGTAAATTGCGGATTAGGGGGCTAAAATGTTTGTTATGGTATTTGCTGTTGGCTTTCATTTTGGGCGCATTAACGGCTGTTCAAATATTTCAGTGGTTGGGCATATCAAATAAACAACTTCAACTAATTTGCTGAAAAATGACTGAACAATTTCAGCCAAAAACAACAACAGCCAGAACAACAACAAAAGCAACAACAACAATGTCGGCAACAATAACGAAATACAACAAGTTTTTGCATGCATAAAATGCAACTTATTGCTATGTTTTATATGTCACTGTGTCGATGTGTCTTTGTGTCTTTGTGTGTGTGCACATTTGTATATGCACAGGAAGTTGGCAACGCTTCGGGCCATGTTGGAATTTTGGCCAAAAGGCACACACATACACAGATCGTTGACTAACAGATAGGAAGGAAACAAAGAGGGACAATGAGCGTGACAGGGAAAATGGGAACATGGTGCGATATTGACAAAGCGTATGCCAGGCAAATTAAATATACCAGCACTCACAACTCCCCTCCCTCCCCTCCCCCTCACACGCCCCACGCACAGAGAGAAAGAGACAATAAGGAAAAGTTACCAGCTTACTTAGAAGTTTTTCCAGGGCGTCTTTCGTAAGCAATGCGCAACAGAGTTTTCACTTGCCACACACAGTTCTAAACTTTTGATCGATTTGTACGCATTGTCTTCATGCACACAGACAATAAGTACTAGTTCTTCTTCTTCTCCTTCTTCTTCTTCTTCTTCTTCTTATTTTCATTTTCAATAAGGAAAGTTACTTTTAAGTATATCAAATGGGGCTGTAGTTGTTTTCTTTATGTTGACAACACGTGTATCTCTAACATCCAATTAAGAGCAGTTCTAGCAAAACGTGACTCATACTCAGCTTAGTCTTTGGGGTTGAATTTCATTCATGAATAAGTCTAATACGTAGCTGTGAATAATGCGTTGAATGATTATAAAACAGTTTGACGAATCTGATAACCAATGTGCGAAGCCGATGAGAACTTTATTGTATACTGAAAGTGACTCACTCATATTACTCACTTATTTGCTATCAGTATTCAACTTAATTTTAGTTAGAATACATCTGAATACATCAGCCACTGCAATCCATCAACTTATTTGACCTAATTACATTATTTATTATACAATAGCTTTCAAATACTATAAAAACATATGAAAATTGTTCTGCAGTAAAAGCAGTACTCAGAATTATACACTCATATCATTTGTTAATTTGCTGCGAGTATCCATCTGAAGTCGCCTCCTTCAATCTATCAACTCAGTTGACCTCATTATGGCATTGCTTTTCCACCTTTCCTCGATGTTAGACATT